CCACCCAAATGCCTAAACAGACCGCCAGTACTGTCACTATTAGACAGTCATTGCGCTGATGAAGTCATCTCTGTTAATGATGAGCTTTGTTTAAATAACGTTAAAAACAGGCGTTTATTATGGCTTCTGTTATTAGCCAGTTTAACACAGTGTTTAACACTCAACTTTTCATTTATAAAAACAATAATTTAGTCTACTTGTGACAACATAAACCTCAATCAAATAATTGAATTGTTTGTTAAATGCACAACCATATTAATAATTTGTTATTTATTATTAATAAGTATTTCATTACTTTATTGCAATTTAGATATACAGGTACTGTACTGATAGCACATACTGTACGTATACATAAAAATTATTTAATTAGTGATTAACTATTAATAGAATATTATATACTATTCTAGGTATTTAATGAATATTTCATATTGAATTTAGCAAATTAGTATAATATAATTATAGATAATATAATTACGGTAATATCATAAAATGCTTTTATTGATAACTTTTAAATTAAATGTTATTAAAAATTGTGAGACAGGTTATTATTCACAGTAACTTTTTTGCTACAACAGAAGTCATTTCACAAATAATATAATAAGTGTTAAAATCAGTTGATTACTTGAATCATAATTATTTTAAGAAATTGATTACTTATAGTTATTATAATATTAAAGTTGTCTTAAATTTTATAAATTCAAAACCATTGAAGAACTGGCTGAGGAGTTATGACCGCAATTTAAACTTATTTCAGTACTAAAGATTCCAGACTTACACCGGTAAATGTGAGTGAATTGAGTCAAAGAATCTGTCATTTAATACACAATTCTTTAACTGTAATGACAAATGTGTTAACCGTTTCAATGGAGACAATGATTTCGATGACAAATCAACTTTTGTCTCTTCAGTGATCATTGAAGTTGTATTCAGTATTAAATCCAGTTTTCGTAAGCCTTTCATACGACCCACCGATTCGTACAATTGTCTCACTTGTGGTTCAGTTAAGCACATCATAAACATCTGATATCTCTTGAGTTGTGGCCATTGATTGACAAACTCTTTGCAGTGATAGTCGATAACAGTCTGAATGATATCGGGATTTGTATTAAATGCAAAAATAATTTGAATATTTAGTTCTCGTAATGCTTTCATTTGTGGCAATAGTTTCAATACACGAATATATTCTTCGGGAGTCGTGTCTTGAAGGTTAAAATAAACTGATAATGACTTTAAACTATTCTTATAGTAATCAACAAATGCTGTCAATCGCTGCCAATCAGAGTCGCTGTAAAAGAAGTGAAATTCAGTTAAAATCTTAACTAAAATCTCATTGTTTTCGGTGACTATGGCTGACGACAAACTATATCCGGAATAACCGGTTAATTGTCTTAATTTCGTATAAGACTTTGAATGGGATTTAAACGCTTGGAAACCAGACTTCGGTACAGATATTGCGGTTAATAGTGAGCCATATTTGCCGAGAATTCTGTCCACTATTTGCTCATTAATACCGGATTTGAAACTAATGCTAATGTTTCTCAACGAGTGTTTGTATGAATTGATTAGCATTTCAAACACTCCTTCTGTATCTTCTGAATGGATCTCAATATCAATGGATGTAATGTTTGCACACTTTTTGACCACTGATTCCAATGCTTGCATATTATGAGTGGGAATCCAATTAACATTTTCTTTTACTCGCGATTTAATCAACACTTTATTACATTTTCCCACTGAAAGGGTGTGTCTTCGTGTGAATACACATCTCTGCCACTGTCTGGACAGACATTCAAATCGGAAACACTCTTTCAGTGATTGATAGGACAATACGAGTCCACACAAGTCATCACCGAATCTGTCGAACGAGTTCTTCGGATAATATTCTTCCTCATCTGTGGTCTTCATAACTATTGCAAAGATATTTCATATAAAAAAATATATCATTAGATAAATACATAATTTTAAAAAAGTTAAATTATGATACTGTATATACTATAACTATATGTTTAGTAATAAATATAGTATCATGCAAGTAAAAATCAAATTTAAATACCTTATGAAACGTTGAGTTAAAAGTTACAATGAATTAAAATATATAATAATAACTATTATTTATTCCTTTGATAAACACATTCATGAAATGCTGATGTAATATAATAAGCAAATTGGTTGACAAAATGCTGTACAATAACTATTGCATAAAATTGTTGTAATTTTACTATTATTCTGTGTGTAAAATACTGTGCAGTCTAACCATACCTATATTTACACAATACAGTTGTAATCATTAAAATGATCAAATATGTGATTACATGCGTTGTAATCAGGGTATTACATAAATATATGCGTAGTCTGTATAAAACTAAAAATAAGTGCGGATTTTATAAAATTGATTTTTAAAAATAGCAAACAATTATTATCCGGATTATGGAATTGATAAAGATATTAAACATTAAGGAATTAAATGAAAAACTTATGAAAATATCTCAAAGAATACAATCGGATAATAGTTTGGCAAAACTACATGAAATGATAGAGAAGTTTATGATTAACTCACAAATTAATAAATGAATTAAAAACTTTAGGATATAATTAATTAAGGCACTGATAATTGTTTATTTTAAAAATATGAAAAATACAGTTAGAAAATTAAATGACTTGTTAATGTTTTATGACAACATATTTTTGTGTAAAATTATTGCTAATTTTTATCAACTGATTAGTGAATTGATTGATTAATTTATGAATTAACATTTTTGAACTCAAAATAATCGAGTTTTCGTAACTTATTCATTGACTCCACAATTGCCGGCGTTTTCTCACAAATAGCCTTAAATACAAACACTTGAAGTCGTGGTAAATGTGTGTGAATTGAGTCAAAGAATGTCTCATTTATTACACAATTAGACAAATTGAGGGACAAATGTGTCAAATTAGGCACCGATAGCGTAGACATGGCTTTCCAATTGGTATTACCGGTATTTCCGGCCATAACATCGCGTAAACTTAGTCTTAAATCTAGTTCACGTAAACGCTTCATACGATTCACAGATTCATACAATTGTCTCAACTGTGCAAACGTTTCAAACTTCATATGCAGTCGATATGTCCGCAGTTGTGGCCACTTATAGACAAACTCTTTGCAGTGATAGTCGACTATAGGCTGAATGCTTCCCTCAGTGTTGACACCGAAATGAAGTGTCAATTCACGCAATGCTTGCAATTGTGGTAAACATGTCATGACATGAATATATTCCTCGGGAGTATCCGCTTTAATCATCTGTAACTCCAAACTCTT